ACACACACACACATATATATATATATATATACATTGTCATACACCCTCTCAAGGTGGTCAACTCCCCCCCCCCTTACCTTCACCTTGACCCCCCCCCCCCCCCGTCAACCCAACCCCCTTCATTCCACCGATATCTTTAATGTTGCAACGTTGGCGTCGTAGTCATTGCCGTCGTCGGCTTGGACTGGTCAACCTCACACGCCTCGTTGGAATACTACTCATGCTCACATGGCTGCCAAGTACTTGCTCGACACCTGTTTTTACCGGATCATCTTCGCTCATTCATTACCTTCAGTTTATGGGTCGAGCATCAGCTATGAGATCTGGTGTTGATACCAGTTGGTCGCCGTCACTCTCGCCTCTACATGGCACTGACGTGGTCTCGACGCTCCTCTCACTCGACGCAACCTCATCATTACCTGGCATTGCTCTGCCTGATAACTTTGATCTTGTTGGCGCCCTGGAGGTTGAAGTCGGAAATGCTCCACAAATGCTCCAATTACGATGTCCTGCGCCACTCGATGGCGCAGTTTGCACCGAGACCATCGTCGGCGTGCCGGTCACCGCCTCGGTCCTTGTTCCGGCTGCAAACTTGGCTGGCCTCGGTAACGCCATTACCCTCTCCCCGGAACTCCTCATTGCCATGTGGTCCGGCGAGGTCACCCGCTGGGACTCGCCGCTCATTGCCGCGCTCAACCCTGGCATCATCCTCCCGCGCGAGAGCATCATCGTCGTCGCCCCGCCTTCGGGTGTTGCTGATCGCGTCCTGGGCGAGATCGCCTACCGCCAAGCTGGTGGCGCTCTTTCCATCGCCAACGCCACCCTCGCTCCAACTCGCACCGCGCGACGCGGAGTCTCAGAAGTGGAGGCCGCAAAGACCGTCGCGAGCATCCCCTACGCACTCACTTTTATCTCGTCCGAGGAGTTTTTCGGCGGCAAGCACGAGGGCGTCCTCGACGTCCCTCGCATTGCCACTCCGCGCGGCTCCGCAGTCTCTCTCTCCGAGGCTTCAGTCCGCATCGCCGTCGACACCGTCGGCGGGCCCACCATCTCGCCGCTCCTCTCCGCCGTCGACGACGGCTGGCCGCTCGTCTACTCAGAATGGGCTCTCTTTCCCTCCTCGCTCCGCGGCGTCTCGGAACGTCAGTGCGACGCTGTCTCGCTCGCCGTCATCAAGGTCGCAGACCTCGTCTCCAACCTCTTCTACGCAGACCGCGCCTGGGACTACGGCCACGCCGTCTTTCCTGTCGAGGTCCGGCAGTCGGCCGTCGAAACGCTCGCCACCATCACGTGCAACGGCAACCCGGCGCTCCGTCGCGAGTTTATCGTCTCGGGCTCGGGCAGCTCCCTCGCCAGCACTCTCTACGGCAACGTCATGGCCCTCTACAATGCCCTTCTCGACACAAACATCCAGTACGTCGGCCTTGGCGTCGGTGCTGATGCCCTCCTCGATGGCTCGTCTGTCTTTGTCGGTGTCGACGCCCCTCTCGACCACAGGAGCAAGCTCGCCTCCAAGTCCATCAGTACCCTCGTCGTTCCGGCTTTTGCATCCTCCATCACCCTACCCTACACCATCCACTATCCGCCTGCCGCCCCGCCGCTCCCGGCACTCGTCCTCTCGCGCTCTGTCGTCGCAGACATTTTCCTCGCCCGTATCACCTCCTGGTCCGATCCGGCCATCGCCGCCCTCAACCCCGTCCTCGCTCCCTGGCTCCCAAACTCTACCATCTGCGTCTGCATCTACTCGCAGCCGAACGGAATGACCTCGGTCTTTACCGAAGCGCTCGCCGCCTTCTCGCCAGACTGGGCCTACCTCTACGGCTCCACGAGCTACATGCCGCCTGGCCAGTGGCCTGGCGAGACTGATGCGACCGCGTGCATCCTTCGTGCCGACGACGCCACCTCGGTTGCCCGTGCCATCGCAGGCTCAACATCAGCCATCGGGTTTGTCACCCGCTCCGTCGCTGCTGCCTCTCAACTCGACATGGTCTCACTCATCAACCGCGCCGGCAACACCGTCCGCGCCGCCGCCGCCACCGTCGCCGCTGCTGCAGACGACTCGGCCAACGACGAGCCCGAAGTCCCGCACCTCCCGCTTGTCCACTCCATCGTCGACCGCCCCGCCGCAGACGCATGGCCCATCTCCACGTTTACCTACTTTGCCATCGACGGCGACGCGCCCGCAGACGGCCGCTGCGCTGAGCGCCGCGTCTTTGCCGAGTTCCTTGTCTGGATGCTCACCTCGCCCGACGCCTGGCGCCTCACCGCCTCACTCTCTTTCTCCCCCTCTCCAACACGACTGCCTTTCCCGCCCTCGGCGCCCTCGGTGCAGCCCGCTGTGAAGGCAAGCCGCTCCTCGACGTCTGCTCGCCCACCGCCTACCCCGTCCTCGCCTCTTGCAACTCGCCCGCTGCTCCACCGCCGCCCGCCATCTCCACCATTGGCTACGTCCTCATCTTTGTCGCCCTCGCCGTCGTCGTCGTTCTCACCACTGCCGCTGTCTTACTCGTCCGCATGCGCAACCGACTCGTTGTCTCGCTCGACGTCGACGAAGACATCGTCGTCGCCATGGACGAAGTCGAAATCATCGGCTCTCTCGGCACCGGCTCGTTTGGCACCGTCTACACCGGCCGCTGGCGTGGCACCACCGTCGCCGTCAAGCACATGCATGGCCTTGACGACTCGTCCACCCTCCTCGTCGACTTTGTCTCGGAGGCATCCGTCCTCATGAAACTCCGCCACCCGAACATCGTCCTCTTTATGGGCATCATGCTCGATCCGGCCGCACTCGTCACCGAGTACGTCATCCATGGCTCGCTCTTCTCTGTCCTTCACGACTACGACTACAACCTCGAGACAAACTGCATCCTCTGGTGGGCCCACGCCATCGCCATCGGCCTCGACTTTCTCCACCAGTCCGGCATCATCCACCGTGACATGAAGTCGCTCAACGTCCTCCTCGACGCCGGCTGGGTCCCCAAAATCGCAGACTTTGGCCTCGCATCGGCAAAGAGCCACTCAGGCTCGTCGGCCTCGCGCAAGGCGCACCGCATCTTTGCCCGCAAGCTCAAGGACCTCCGCGCCGCCCGTCCCATCGCCACCACCGCCACTGCCTCGGGCACCATCGTCCGCTTCGACACCTCGTATGGTGCCAGCGGGGATCGCAGCGACCGCCTGAGTGGCATCCAGCTCGACACCGTGCCCTCGTCCGGCACACGCAACTCGTCCGGCACACACGGCTCCGCCGGCCGCTCCTCGGGCCACAACGCCGCCTCGGGCAGGTCCATCGACACAAACCTCGGCTCGCTCCTCTGGGCCGCGCCTGAAATCCTCAAAGACGGCGCTTCTGCCGCCTCACAAGCCTCAGACGTCTACTCCTTCGCTATCACAGCCTGGGAAATGCTCACCCGCTGCGAGCCGTACGCCGGGACAAACCCGGTCGCTGTCGCCATGGACGTCGCCCGCGGTGTCCTCCGTCCCGCCCTCTGCCTCGTTCCCGAGCACGCCTCCTCCATCGTTCCCATCATCGTCGCCGCCTGGCACCAGGACCCGCTCGAGCGCCCATCATTTGCAGAGCTTGCCACTCAACTCGCCGCATGCTACGCCCGCCCCGCCGTTGTCCTCCCGTCCAAGACCACAGTTCCGCGCGGCCTCGTCATCGCCGCTCGCGTTTCCTGCACCCTCGCAAAGGCCAAGCTCCTCGAAGACCCAGACTCGGTCCGTGAGCTCCTTCTCGCCTTTCACACCGCGCTCGCCACAGCCGCTGGCCTCGCCACCGTCAAGATTGCAGAGTCGGGCGTCGCTGACGTCGTCCTCATCTGCCAGGTCGCCGCCCAGTTTGCCTGCTTTGCGCAGCGCTTCCTCTCGGACATGTCCGTCTACGGCGGCGTCTGTCTTGTCGCCGCCATGGGACGCCTCGACTTTCGCCCCACAACCGTCGACGAGACCTCGTCCCAACACTTTGTATTCAAGGGCGATGTCGTGCGCGAGCTCAACGCTCTCGCAAGCCTCCAGCCCGTCAAGCACGCCTCCACGGGCGTCTTTATTTCGCAAACCCTCGTGCCCGAGCTCCAAGGTGCCCTCGACGCCAACCCCAACGCGCTCCTCCACCTCACAGAGGCCGACGCTGTCGCAGACTCGGACATCGAGCCCATCGGGGTTGCCACCCTCTCGCTCTCCACCAACTCGATGCATCGCTCGTCCTCAAACTCCGCTCTCGGCCTCTCGAGCGAGCTTGCCGCAGGCGTGTCTGCCTCCGCCTCGCGCCCCCGCGCCCGCCGCCGTACCGCAGGCCACAGACTCACCATCGACTCGAGCTCCTCGCGCCGCCCCGCCGACGCCTCGTTTGACGGCCTCCGATCCTCACTCCCTGCCGTTCTCGACAAACCCGGCTTTGCCCGTGCACACTCGGCAGACCTCCCGCCGCCCCTCCTCGCCTCGTCAGTCGTCGGCCCCGATCGCCTCTTCCGCGCCGCGCAATCCGATGTCAACGCCCTCCCCAGTACCGTCCCGTCATCGTCGGCCTGGTTCGACATCTCCATCCCCACCTCGGAGTTTGCCGCCGTCTCGGCCTCGATCGAGGGCACATCCAACCTCAACCCGGTCATCAACCGCGCCGCCTTTTCGCCCGAGCACTCGCCCCGCACCGCCCACACCTCAAGCGGCCGCATTGAGCTCTGCGCAGAGTCGACCACCTTTCTCCTCTCGGCCTACAGCATGAAGGCCATCGTCCAGTCCGGCAAGTTGGTCCATGTCTCCTCACACTCCAAGGCCTACGTCTCCACCTACCTGCACAAACCCGTCCTCGTCAAGCTCCTCCTCGACCAGGACGTCAAGCCGACCTCGCTCGTCACCTTTGTCACCGCGCTCGCCAAGCTCCTGTGGATCGCCCGCCAGGCCGAGCGCGGCTCCGTCGTCCCGCCCATCGCCGCCTGCTCCTTTGCGCCCTACATCGGCGTCGTCATGCCCTACGCACCGCTCGGCTCGCTTGCGGACCTCGCCTCCCCAAAGCTGTCCGTCGAGCGCTCCGCCGTCTTCCTCCGCAATGCTTCCATCGCCCTCGCAGACGCCCTTGCAGGTCTCCATCAGCTCGGTGGCGTCCATGGCTCACTCAAGCCTGCGAACGTCCTTGTCGCACACCCGACAGGCTCAAATGTCGCCCTCGCAGATGCATGCATAGCCACCATCCGCTCCTCGCTCTCCACCATGACCCTCACCCCAACCATCGCCTACCAGTCGCCCGAAGAGCTCTCCGGCGAGCCGCCCACCGCCGCCTCGGATGTCTTTGCTTTGCTTCCACCCTCTATCATCTCCTCGCAGGCACCGACGCATTTACAGGCGCCTCCGCCATCGAGCTCGCCTCGCACATCCGCACCGTCAACACCCCAGACCTCGCAGACTTTCCCGCACGGCTCATCCGTATCTTCCACTCGTGTTGGAAGGCGCTCCCCGCCGACCGCACAGACATGACTCACATCGCCCGCGTTCTCTGGACCTCTGAAGTCGAAGAGTACCAGCAGTTTGTGTGAGGCAGTGGCCGCTAACCCTTGACGGTACACTCGTTCCGGCGTCTTATCGCCCGTCTCAAAGAGAACAGCACAGTACATGACCCAAGCCCTCTCAACACTCCCCCGCTGCCGCCACTCGCCGGCCGATTGGCGTCGCATGGCCGCGCGCCCGTGATGCTACCCACCCCACAAGCGCCCATCTGCATGCCACGAGTTGCCATCGCAGTGACAAACCGAGACAAGCATGGCAACAATCCTGTGGAGCGGCAGGCGCGATGCTTGAAGCGCTTGTCGTTGACAACAGCAAGCGCCACTGGGTGTGCGGCCGCTTAACCCCACCACGAAACCCGCCTTTCCGCCTCACTTCCACCAAATGGCTCCAAGCGCCGACCAAGCCGCAGAATGTGAGAAAAGCTACCACCTGCAAGGGGACTGCCTTACAATAACACATCATTCCCTCGCTCACTCCCCACCGCCCATTGCCTTTGAACTGATACGATTGTCTTGCAGATCGTGGACACTGAGCATTGTGTGGCTCGGTACGTGAGTCGGCTGGCTGGTGTGCCCAGTGTCCCATCGACCACCAAAGTGTGACGTTTTGCAAACGGCACAAAGTTCGCATCACAACCAACAGCACAACCACACCGGTCACTGCCAACACTCATCTATCTCCCACATCACACCCATCACAGAAACACTGCGTACTTCTCCCTCCCCCTCTTCTTGTGATACCATGACCGCCAGCAACACCCCACAGCCGTCAAAAAAGACCACAAAGGTTCACGACCCGCGCAAGTTTGCGCCGAAAATCCACTACAACGTCGGTGTGACTTTCTCGCTCGAGGCTGACGACAAGTCAGCTGTCATCATTCCTGCCGAGTGCAATCGAATCCTGCTGCAGAGTACGAGCGATGACCCCTCGACTTCCATGGCCAACGCACGATCATCCGGTCCCATCAATCTCAGGCTGGTCTCCATCGACGACAAGGTCTGGTTCTCGCTCAACAACACTCTTCCTCACTACGTCGTCCTTCCGGGTGCCGCAGAGCCTCTGGCCGCCGTCATGAGCACCGAGGCGCAGCGGCACTCTCGAAAGGTGGCCCTTGTTGGCTTTGTGGATGACGACGAGATTGGCTATCTCCGCTCCATCACAGTCTGGATGAGCTTCGCAGACGCCGTCGTCATCACCGTTCGCAGACATCTTGCTACCAAGAACCCGAAAACAGGCCCGATCTCGACCGCCTCTGTCGCCATCGCCAACACGATCCTGTACACGACGGCTGCAGAAGACGACCACATCGAGCTGCCTGGCGCATCCACTACTACCGCCACAACAGCAACTGCTGCTGCTACATCATCACCGCCGAAATAGCACTCGAGCTTGATTTAAATCACTCGCCGAACCTCACTCGCCGCGCCTGCGCTGAGAGCTCAGCCGTCTGGTCAAGGGCGGCGCCAAGCGGCTCGCCCACAGAGCCAAAGATGGCTGACGGAATGGTGTCCACGCCACCGACTCCGATGAGTGAAAGAATGAACGAGATGTTGGGTGCAGACGCCATGTGCGCCGTCACGTTGCCCATCGCAGAGACTTGCGGGTGGAAGTGGAACCGCTCGCGGACCCGGAACGCCCGTTGCTCCCGACAGCAGCAGAAGCGGTTGCAGCCTCGCCTTCGCCATCTGAGCTGGAGAGGCCAAAGCCCTCGTCTGACGCCGCAAAGAATGCAGCCTCGTCGTCGTCGTCCGATCCGCGGCCGTGGGACCCGCTCCGCCCGCGCCGTGAGCGTCGCCGCCGCTGCTGCTTTCGCTTGCTCCCGGTCCGCGAGCCAAACTCGTCCGCGGACGACCACTCGTCGCCATCCGAAGACTCGTCGTCGGAGCCGCCATCGCCGCGCGCCTCGGCCGACCCGCTAAAGTTGCGCACAATGTTCATCAGGTGCTTGTACACCGCGCGCGAGGTGGCCACGGAAATCGGCCCACTGGGGAACCGCGAGTCAAAGTCGTACCACACCACACCGCCTTCGGGCGCCTGGTCCGTGTCCATCTCGATGTGGGCTGTTGGAATGCGGAAGACAGGCTGTGTCGATGCCGATGAGAGTAGCGTCTTGGCCGACACAGACTTGCTCCGCGACGCCGCGTACTGCATCGCAACCTCGCCCTTGCGCACATACACCACAAGCAGCCGCTTGTACGATCCGGCGACTCGCGGCTGTACAAGCTGCGCTTGGATCGACTGTGCTTGGATTCGGAGCCACTGGTGGTCGCGGAGGCAGTCGTAGCCAAAAGAAACACGTTGGCACGCTGCACCACAACATGTAGCGATCCAATCCCGTGCTTGTCCGCTGGCTTCGGATCCACCCCGCCTACTCCAATCCCGCTCGCGCTCTCGTTCCGCCCGAGCCCGCCCGCAGAGCCCGTCGCCTGCTTTGGATCAAGTGAGAAGGCCACGCCACCGCTCCCGCCGCGGCCGTCGCCACTTGCGCCGCGGACACGCCGGCCCGACGCCAGCGCGTCCGCCACCAGCGAGCCCACCGCACCGGCAATGGTTGCCACCGACCGCCCGGTCTCGGGCGATGCGTACAGCGTTAGGCCCTTGCACAGCACGCTCACGTCGACGTACACATAGCCGCCGGACCTAAAGTCGGCTGCTGCCGGCTGCGAGAGAATGTGCGGCAATGCATCGAGCGTGTCCACCAGCCGGTCGCGCCCGTGCACATACGTCGCACGCATCTCGCACTTGATCATTCGCTCCGTGTTGAACCAGAGGTCCGCATCGACCTGACGCACCGCTGCCCCCTGCACATGCACCACCTTGAGCTCAGTAGGCACTTCGACGCCCTGCGCTCCGCCAGGCGCGCGGTACTCGCGCTGAACCTTGACCTGCATGCCGCCGGCGCGCACCCGCCCTGACAGCTGGCCAGACTCGATTGTGTTGTTGGCCGCCATCACGCACCGCTCCACAGACAGCGCAAGTGTAGATGGCAGTCGCGTTGCGAGCCCAGCCACAAGCCCGGAGACCTCGGTCTCGAGCATCGTCGACTGCAACGTCACCTGGACACGCCCCACCCGCGACCCAAGGTCCACAGATGTGTACCACTCGCGGATCCGCACCACGCTGGACCACGACGGCGCGCTGCTCCTTGTGGCGGCAGCAGCCACCGCCGCCGGAGTACCGTCTCGGGCGTCGGCCGCCTCTCGCCCGCCCTCGCTCGCTGCCAGTAACCCTGCACGCCAGCCGGCCGACCAGCTCTCGCCAAAGGCTACGGCCTCTTCGAGGTTCTTGCCGTTGACGTCAAGAAGAACGTTGGCCACGTCAACAACCCGCATAAACATGGCTCCGCCGTCCTCGGTGCGGAAGCCGTAGAATCGGCCCTCGTTGCCCGACAATGCGTCGAGCCGGAACCGGACGCAGTCTTCTGATCCGTACACGTGTCGGATCTGCATAGAGACAAACTTGCACTTGACCGCCGTAGAGACCACCATCGTTGCGGGCTCGCCCTCGCTCTGGTCCTCGCTCCCGCTGCTTGCGCTGTCACTCTCGCCGAGCTCGTAACCGCTGCTTCCGCTCAGGCCGCCGAGCGAGTACTCGTCGTCCGAACTCAGCTCCAGGCTCCCGCTCCCGCTCATCGCCACCGACGAGAGCTCGATCCCGAGTCCCAGCTCGCGCTCGTCCTCGTACTCGTACTCGTAGCCAAATCCGCTGCCGTCTCGGCTCGGCTTGGGCACACGCACCTTGATCCGCGGGTGGCCCGTGGCTCTCTTCTTCTGTCTCTGCTTCCGCCGCCTCCTCCGCCGCCGCCGCCGCTTTCGCCGCCGCCGAGCATCCGCCTCGCTCCCGCCCTCGCCCTCGCCCTGTCCGCGTGCGCTCAGCACCGTCGTCAGTACGTCGAGCTCAGCAAACTCGAGCTTGCACACCACATCCGCCGCAGGCCCGCAGTTGAGCGTCACCGAACGCGGCTCGCAATGGACCAGGAGAGTGATCTCGGTCGCCATACCCTCGCTTCGCCTCACGTCTTGCACGTCCTTGTCCTCGTCCGCGGAGGCTGCCCTGGCCGCCACAGACGGCGCCCGGTCAGACATCTCGGCCAAAAACGTCGCGAGCCGCGGCGTGAGTACCACGTTCGACCTCTTAATGTCAATCTTGGCCGCCACCGCCGCGTGCGGCTTCCATGCCACCACGTACCGGCCCATCCCGTCTGGCCGCGCACGCTTCACGCTGTTGTGGTCGACAGAGTACCGCGCGAGCGTCTCCAGTGGTGGGAGCGTGATGAGCTGCGCCCCGGTCTCGTCCCAGCCCGGACCGGCAGTCCCCGGCGTGTTGGCCGAGCCACTGCCCAGCGCTCCGCGGCTCGGGTGAAGCCGGACAAGTCCCTCGGTCACCGACGCCTTGACTTCGAACACCAGATCAGCCGGCTGCGGCGGCTCGCGCACACGCCCGCTTCCCGAGTCCACCGTCGACGTGCCCAGCGAGGTTCCGGCTATCCGGCTACGCACCTGCTCGGTTCCCTCGATGATCTTGCGAGTCGCCGCCTCGGTTCGTGCCCGCGCCGCAGGCGTCGCGCCGCCCAGGCCGGCCGCATGATCCAGCCCGCTGTCTTCAGCATCGGCCTCGAGAGACCACAGTTCCGAGAGCCGGGCCACATGGTTGACCACTGCAGGCGTGGCGTCGATCCACGGGCCAGTCGCTGCTGCGTTGATCCATCCCTGCCCGCGGTTCTGTGACGACTTTCGTACCACGTACCAGTTGGCCGATACCATTCGCGCAACCGCCTTGTTGAAGCACGCTGCCGGCTCCTCGGCCGCCACAGAGTCAAACACAAACGCCTCCACGCGCTCCACAAGCAGCGAGCCGAGCATCTTGTCAAGCGAGCCAAACTGAAAACCAGTCCCAGTCCCGCCTCCTTGCTCCTCCACCTTGTCGAGCAGCGTCTGTGAGTTAGCGGTCACTCGCACAGACGCCACGCTCAGCCGCACCAGCGGCGTCGCCTCGGGCGCACCCTTGGTCTCGGGCAGGAGCGACTCAAAGACTGACGGCGCTGGCGATCCCTGCGGCGCGAGCTCGTCGTCTTCGTCGACTTCGTCGGCCCGGATGAGCGGAACCCGGAAGACCGAGTCAATGACAGAAATATGGACCGCGGCGTTGGAGAGGACAAGCTCGTTCTCGGCAAATGCCTGCTGCGACTTGTACTTGAGTGCCTCGAGGTGCTGGTCCTGTAGAGCTGCGTCCATCGCCGCACGCTGCACGTTGTACGCCTCGTACGCCGCCTGATACTCGCTCGCCAACGCCCCGGCCTTTCGCACCGCAACCGGGCGAAGCACTGCCCGGGTCGTGTCCACAGACACCCAGATCTCTGAAGTCGTGCTGGAGCCCTGGTTTCCGCTTGCGGCGTCGTCAAAATTGCGCACCACAATGTTTGTCGCGATCTTACCAAACTCCAGGCCATCGTCGTCGTCGTCGGGCATCCCGCTCCCGCCACTGTTGTTCTGTCGCCGCCGCTTCTTGCGCCGCGTCCGCTTCCTGCGTGCGTACGCCAGCGCCGCGCTAGCCGCGCTCGCAAACCGGGACTTTTGGTCGTCGGTCGGTACAGCTTGGCAATCTGCTCTGCTGGTGCCAGCGCGCTCTTGGCGGTGAGTACGACCGTGAGACCCTGCAGCCGGACCTGCCACGCCGCAAACACCTCTTCTAGTGAGCCAGGCACCACCCGATCACGGAGCTTGACGTCCAGCACCCCGTTCTGTACCACCAGCACCACGTCGGGCTGCTCCACAGACGTGGCCACAATACGGAAGCCCTCCAGTAGAAGATCGACCTTGTAGTGGAATGCACCGGCGCTCGACGACGCCCGTGATCCGCGCCGTGTAGAACCGAGCGTCGACTCCTCAGAGCCCATGCCTAGATACGCGCCAAGCACTTCGTTGACCTCATGCGTCAGCGTTCGCTGCAGAAACAGCAGGTGATTGAGCATCGACGGCGAGATGGTGTTTTCCACGTAGTCCACCACCACCAATGAGGTGAGAAACGACTCGAGCATGCCATGCGGGACCCCGCCGTCGTCGATGCTCCCGTCCTCGGTCTCCTCACCTATATACTCATTGTGAAGCGAGCCCATGCCGCGGATCGGTGGCAGCGCAAACCGCGCGTGGGCGCGCGATCCGCCGCCGCCGGCCAGCTGTGACTGAAGCCGCTCGTCACGGTCGAGAACCGGGTCGGCGCTCCCACGGTCACCACTGCCCTCGCCGCCGCTCTCGTTCTCGTTGCCAGCGAGCTCAGTGATAAACGTGATCGCGTGCGGGAAAACGTGGAACGAAAACGCGAGGTCGCCGTTGAGGTCCTGCGCTACCCGCACCGAGAGCCGCGAGATCGAGTACTGCGACGAGACGGAGGGGAGGAGCTCAAAGACAGCCATGTTGTCGCGCACATCCAACAGCAGCGCAACCTCGGACACAACCGCAGACTCCATGAGGAACCTCCCCTGAAGCTTCTCCAGTCGGTGCAGATCCAGTCGCCCGGGCACGGTCGAGCCCGATCGTCGGCCGGTCCCGTACGAGCCGGTCACCGAGCCCGAGACCGAGCCGCCGTCGCCACGCCGCCGACCGGACGCCTTGAACGCGCCTTGCCATGTCTGCAGAAACTCGACAAGCTTGGACGGCGCCTGCGTCGTGATCAGCTGCGACCCGTCCCATGCCACCACAGTCGATGACTTGTACAGCACAGCCTCGCCACTCGCCTTGTCCGAGTCGATCCGCCACGTCGACGAGTCGACCATCGCACCACGGAGCGTGATCCGCATGATTGGCCGCTGAACATCGGGCTCAAGCGCAACCGCCGCGAGCTCGTCGAACCGGACCTGCAGCGAGTTAAGCAGCGCAGCGCTGGCCACGCTCTTGCCAAACGCACGCTCGGCTGCGTCGGCTGCCGCGTGCGGCGCCCGCGACCCGTCGCATCCAAACTGAGTCGTGCTCACTTGCGCATTAGCCAGCTCGAGCTGCATGTTGCCGGCCTCGCGGGTCGTCGCTTGCAAAGAGACCCGCTCAAAACTCGCGGTCACTGTAACCGTCAGAGTCACCTTGGGTTGGAGGCTCGCAGCTTGGTCATTCTCCTGCTCCTCCTGCTCCTCCTGCTCCTCCTCCGCCTCGGCCTCGTCCACAACCGTCAGTGATGGCATCGACGGCATCGACGGTATCGACGCGCGCCGATCAAGCGTCTCCATGGCCTCAAACAGGCCGCGGGTCTTGCGCCCTTGGGATCCGGCCGGGTCAAGTGTCGCAGCCGCCATACGCTTCCGCTTGATCACTGACTTGAGGACCGAGCCGCTCGACTTGGAGTGCTTGTGGCTGCTCTTGCGCTTCCGCCGCCGCCGCCGCGCGTCTTCCAAATCGACGTCGCCCGACTTGCTTGTTCTCCCAGTCTGCAAGCCGATGATATCGCCGTGGCTTCGCGAGAGCAACTCACCCGAAAGAAACGACTTGTCCGGCCCACTCTTGGACCACCGGCGTATGTGGCGACCACCACTCTCACCAACCGGCTGTCGCTCGTCAGCAAAGGTGACCGACCGCAACGGGTCGCCGCCACGGGCACGCCCGCCGTCGCCGCCGTCAGAGTTGGACCCACCGTCGCCCTCGGCGCTCGACCCACCATCGACAACCACGCCGCCGGCCGCGCTGGGCGAGGTCAGCGTCGGCGCCTCGATCATGTTCAGCACCTTGGTACCGGGCTGCCGCGCCGACGCGCGGAGTAAGAGCGCGTCGTGAGCAATGACGCTCTGCTGGAGGCCGGCAAAGTGCGCAAAGCGGAGGATGGCCGGTAGGGCTGAGCCATTAACCTGCCCGACACGGAGGACGTAGCGGAGGCCAAGCTCAAGTTGCGGCACGCTGTCGGAGCCTACCGCCAGTGGATCAACCTCGTTGGACTTGGCGTAGCTTGCCACGCCGGCGCCGGTCAGGTCGGAGCACTTGATCTGCGACTCGGTTCCTCTTGAGTGGAGGACGGCGAGGCGAAGAGCCTTGAGCGCAAACGAGATGTCGATCGTCGAATCGACGAGTGAAGCAAACTTGGGAAGCCGCTCAAAGATGTTGAGGATGAGCGGCGAGTAAGCGAGCGCCTGCTCGTCAATGCTCTTGTTCTCGCACCAGACCGAGAGAATCTCCATGGTCTCCCAGAATAGCGCCTCGGTATCCTGGGCCTGGCCGCCAGCCGTGGCACGAGCCTCGATCTGGGTCTGTAGCAACCGCCGCCTCCGCGAGTTGAGCTTGCGGTAGGCCCGGCGCATGTAGTAGACCAGCTTCCAGCCGGCGTCGTGCTCAAAGGTGCGCGCGCCGCGGAGCGTGTCGGCCTGCGCGGCTCCGCGGCTCTCGGCGCGGCTCCGGCTCCGGCTCATGCCACGTGGATCGTCGGGATGAAGACCGACGCTCCCGCTGCGGCCGTGCCAGGCTCGCGATCGCGCACGCGCACGCGAGACCGACGGCGACATGACCCGGGCGGGGTCAATGCCCATCATCGACGCCGCGGCCAACTCGCGCATGCAGACCTGGAGCTGCCGCTTGCGGAGCGATGCGTGCTCTGACAGCGACAGGCCGAGCTGAGAGAGAAACGTGGTCCAGATTGCGATCAGCGAGTTGAGGACCATCGGTGCCTCCTCGACGCCGGCAATACCGATGCCACCGAGCTCGCCGACCCAGGCGCCAGTGGCCGGCGGCGCAGCGTGTGCGGCGTGCGAGCCCTCGACGTGAACGCGGTCGACCTCGAGGGCAAAGACCACCGGAAACAGGGCCCGTCGAGGGAAGAGCAGCAGCTCCGAGGCAATGCCCGATGTGGCCAGCGAGCTCGCGTCGCGAGCGTGGACATGCAGGCCCATCCCCCCCATGAGGCACGCCACCTCAGCCGAGCCAAAGTGCTGGTCCTGGTACTCGATATGGGTGGCAGCGGTTAAGAGCGCCTTCGAGCCGGCGACCAGGACAGGCTCAAACTGGGCGCCGTGCAGATGCTGCTCGACCGAGCCCATGGCTACAGTGTTGGTCACTACCAAATGGCTCACATACTCGGCCTCGCGCTCGGTCAGTGGCTCGACCGGGAGCGGAAGCGTCGGGCGCGGGCCGGGCGCCCGCTCCGGCACAATCAGCGTCATGCCCATGATGCACTCGACGTGGAGCGAGGCGCAGGCGAGGCAGACCTGCGTTTGGGCGGCAACGTTGCGGACTAGCGAGAGCGTGCGCGAGAGCTGGATGTCATCAAACAGGGTGTCGAGCGCAGGCTGCGATGGGTGCAGCGCTTCGGAAATCTCTTCCAAAACCTGGACAAAGGCAGGCGTGACAAAGACGCTGAGCTCGGAGAGAAAGTCGACAACGGCGGTGGAGACCACCCGCTGCGCCTTGGCCCGGGCCCAACGAGCCGCGGGGGAGGCGTGTTTGGAGTCGGAGCAAGACCACTCCTCCGAGTCGCCATGAGCCGAGTCGGCCGCTGGCCGCATCGGCTCCGGTGGGCTCGAGCCCGGGAACAAGCCGTCGGCCTTGAGCGAGGCAAACTTCCAAAAGTTGGGACCGTACAGCTCGCGTGCCGTGCTCGAGGCTCCAGCGAGAAAGTAGAGCGAGGCAAACGACGACTTGAGTGCAGGCCGCGCCCGGCGCTTTCGCCGCTTCTCGCCACGCGGCACGAGCTGCCGCCGCCGTAGATCAAGGACAAACTCGCGCGGACGGACACCAGCCGCCGGCTCGTGGTCGCGTGCCACGCGCGAGCCCCTAGGCGGCGGAACCCAAATGGGCGGGACCCGGGCGTGGGTCTGCGGCTGGCCTTGAACGCCAGCACTTGAGCCTCCAGCCTCCTCGTCACTGTCCGAGTCAAAGTCTGAGACTGCGCCGTCATTGTCACGCAAGGCCGAGCTTCGCGTCGCCGACTCCCACGAGTCGGTCGAGCTTGTGGCCGGGCCGAGCGGTGGTGGACGGTCAGAGAACCACGACGAAGAGAGCGAGGAGGCCGAGGAGGCAGACGCGCCGCCGCGCGGCGTGGACGACGCGAGTCGTGTAGTGGAGGCCGACTCGGACTCGGACTCAACCGCTTCCTGGGCTTCGGACAATGAGGAAGCCGAGGAGGTGAGATGAAGCGGAGCAGTGACTTCAAAGTCGCCGCCGCCATCATGTGTGCCGTACGCCGCAAACGAAGCGTTGGACGAGTACTCGTAGTAGTGCTCCGAGACAAACGATGAGTCGCCGACATCGGTGCGAGAAGAGACTTCGGGACCGCTGACAGTGGCGGCAGCAGACGCAGCAGCGGCCGGAGTGCGCTGGGCGTGGAACGACGCGGCCGTATTGAACGATTCGTAGAGGCCTGGGGTAAAGTCGACCTTGGTGTAGTCCTCGGCAACAAAGAGCGAGTCGAGGGCGGTGCCTGCGTTGGGGAAAACTGCACGGCGGTAGGCCTCAAACAGCGGGTCGTCGTAGAGAAAGACAAGTCGCGCAGTGGCGGCGTCCTGGGCAAAGAGATGTGCGAGCTGGGCGTCACGGGCAAGCTTCCAGTTGTCGGTGATCGAGTAGAGCGAAAAGTGAAGGGCAGTATCAAGCGAGGCGACTTGGGTAAAGGTGGGCGAAGCGTTGTCGGGAGTCGAGCGCGACTTGACAAACGAGGCCAGCTCAAGGCGCTCGACATTGATGCAGGTCTTTGTCTCGTAAATGGGGTTGACGAGCGAGTCACCCCAGAGCTTGAGACCAGCGGGGGCAACAAGCTCGGTGACCGAGCCCTCGCACCAAACAGCGAGACGGACTTTGCCGACCGAGACGTTAAAGAGCGAGAGTGGCGGCGGCAGGCGGATGGTGTTCTCGGGCGCGAGCGCGTTCTCGCGGTCGGTGAGATGAAAGGTGACCTGGGCCAGCGAGGCGGCAACGGCCGAGACGTGCGCTGGGACCAGCTCGCCCGAAATGGGGCCGACCTTGGCCTGGACGGCGTGGCCGTAGGTGAGTGCGGCTGGTGCCGGGCCGTAGAGAATGTGGGTGTGGATGTGGAGGCCACCGATGGCGACAGCACCGTACTTGTGAAGCTCTCCCAAAGTGGCGTCGCGGGTGGGCCCAGCAGACGGGGTCGGTACGGATGGAGGCGGCGGCCCGCCGTCGGAGCGGGCGCTGAGCGGGCGGCCGCCAAAGGTGTAGCCAGCAAACGGTGAAGCCTCAGTGGTTTCGGCCGTCGCCTTGGGCTTTGACGCGAGCCCGCGCGTCGAGCCCGCAGAAGGCTGCGGCTCGCTAACGGTGACGCCCGCGGGGGTGGGGACGCGGAGACGGACCGGCGAGATCTCGACAAACATATCGAGATAGGCCGGCATGATGCGGACGTCGAGGATGCACTCGGTGACGGTAATCGACGGCGCGGCCTTGGAAGAGTACAGGTACTGCGGGAGCGCGATCTTGATGTCCTTAAAGTTGACGACTACGTGCAGCTCGCGGGCATTGGCGGCCGGCGGTGGCACATCGCTCGAGGCGTTTTCGGCTGCAAGGAGTCTGTCTGGTCCAAAGAGAGCACGCTCTTCGTCATAGTATGGCGGGAGCGAGGCGCCCGAAACGGTCGACGCGGCGCGCGAGTGTGCAGCGACGGGGGCGGCGGCGGCGGCGGGCGGCGGCGGCGGCGCGTGATCCCCAGCTCCCGTTGCCTCAGGCTGGCCGAGCGTGGCAGTGTACTCGTTGGTGGAGCGAAAGACGGTCGAGTAGCCAAAGTAATTGTCCGAGAGAAAGCCGAGGTAGCGGAGAAAGAAGCCATAGCCAAGGGCATCGAGTGACGAGGCATGGAGATCGACATGAAATGAGTCGAGGGCGCCTGGGATGACACTGGTATGGGTCCGCGACGAGCCGTCGAGACGAAAGTCTGTGAGCTTTGCAAAGTGCGGGCCGAGTCGAGGATGGAGGCGCGGATGGTGTTGTCCGACTGGAGGAGGAGCGAGAGCGAGAGCGAAGGCGCGGTGCAACCAAAGGTCATAATGGTGAACGGCGGCTCGTACTCGAGGTAGGGGGTGGCGACCGTGAGGTCGAGGCGCGGGCCGGAGAAGACGTAGTGCGCGTTGGAGGCGAGATCGTTGGGCACGTCGATGATGTTCTTCTCGTTGACGTTGGTGTAGAGGCGAAAGTCTGTGAAGCGCACGTCGTAGTTCCACACGTACGGCACGTAGTGGGCAAGGTCGTATGGCTCGCCGGCACCAAAGTCTGCACCGAGCTCGCCGAAAAAGGTCGAGTGCTGGGCAAGGTAAAAGATGGACGGCGAGGTGGCGGAGAGGTAGAGCGACCAGAGCTGTTCGCCGTTCCAGGGCAGGGGGTAAATGCCCTCGACCGAGAGCGAGATGGCCGGAGCTGTGAGGAGCGGCGCTCCATTGAGCGAAGTGGCGACGCGGACGTCAAAGAGGTTGAGCTCGTACGTCATGGTATAGCCTGCGTTGTCGAGGATGAGCATGGGCATGTTGAAGAATAACGAGGAGCCCGGGCGGAGGAGCGCCTGCTTGTGGGTGGACATGGCGGCGGAGCCGAGCGGAGGGGCGGATGCGTGCTCCGGTGGGGCGTGGGCAAAGACAATGTCGAGCGAGCCGACGCGGCGGGCGGCGAACGGTGGCAACGGAGCACCGGGTGGCGCGAGCGCATGACGAAATGGGATGCGGAGTGTGGCCTCGTTGGAGAACTTGACGAGGGTGGTAAAGTCGGGTGGGTAGCGGTCGGTGCCGGGCACGATGGGCCACACCTCCCAGTCCTCGTAGGGGAAGGGCATAAAGTAGGCGAGCATGAGGGCGCGCTGGCGCTCGGCAAAGGGACCGTAGGCAACGACAAGGTCGGCAAAGATGAGATCCATGCCCCACTGCGGGCCGAGGTCGTCGGGCGAGGGGGATGGCGGAACCGTGCCGACGACGTCGGCAAAGTAAGTGAGGGTGACCGAGGAGCAAGAAAGGATGGTGTCCACGCGGCCGTACTCTTCCGAGTCGAGGTAGCACGCCGAGTCTGGGAAGAGCAACTTATCCGACTGAGCTTGGACACCGGCGTCCGGCACCGTGGAGGAGCCTGTCGGCCCGGGCTGGAGCGGGGCGGTCGACGAGGCGCGATCGATCGAGCGTGACGAGCGGTTGCGCGTGAGGCGCGAGCGCATGCGGGCGTGGGCGCGGGCGGCGGGGCGCGACGACGCCGGAGTCGATGCGGCAGAAAGGCCGATGGCAGTGCCGCCGAGGCCGTAGTTTGCGGGCGAGACCAGCTGGCCGTAGTCCTGCTCCGAGCGGGAGGCCGATCGCGAGTGCCGACGGGCGTGGCCGCGGCGGACGCGCGGGGCGGGAGGACGCGGGTGCGGCTCATCGCCCGAGTCTGCGACGGGCTTGGCGTCGGGGCCGGCCAGCGAGTCTGCACACGAGACGTCGACGGCGAGGCCTCCGGGCGGCGGACCAGATGTCGGGGCGCCGTCGGCGCGGGAGCGCTTGAACGGGTTGAACCGCGAGTGGATAAAGTTTCCCCACGCGTCGTCGTCCGAATACTCGGACGAGACGGCGAGGTCGTCGTCAAAAAAGGCTTCGTCTTCGCGGAGAAAGGCAAACTTGACGTCGCCAACAAACTCACGCAGATTGCGGATGTTGCGCTGGATGAAGCCACGCGGAAGGATGCGCGAGACGCGCGAACGGGCAGCAGGTGTCTTGGCGCTTCCCATGTCTGATGGCGGGGTGTAGTCGAGGTTGGGGACGAGCTTGAGCGCAGCGCGGACGAGCTTAAAGTGCGAGATCGACTTGTAGTAATCGAGCGGCGACCGGGCACGCTCGGCGGTGAGTACTCCGGTGGCCTTGTGCCAGTGCAAAAGGGCAACGTTGGGCAGCTGCGGATTTCCGACGTAGAGTGCGCCTTTGCGGACTTTGACGCCGAGCATGGGAAAGAGGCGAAAGAGGGTGGGGATCTGATTGCCGCCGGGCGCAACGTAGCCGTCGGCACCAGCCCCGCCAAGAGTGGCCGCGCCAGCGGCAGAGGCGGTGTGTGTCGAGCTCCGCGAGCCGCCTTTGCCTGTGGAGCAGCTGCTGTCGTCTGCATCGTCCGAGACGAACGATCTCGAGCTGGCTCTCGGCCCATGGTCAGCAGTAGCTGCAGAAGCAGCAGCAGTAGCAGCTTCGCGTTTGCGGAGGATCTCTTCGATGGCATCGTATCGCGAGGCCCAATTGTACATAAGATCTCCAGGCCTGAGATGTTGATACGAAAGCGACAAGAGCGATAAGCATCGTCACGAGTATACTCTACAGCACTTGTAGCATCTTCTGACCACCATCTCAAAGTGATATACGCATCGACAAAGTTAAACGAAGCATCTCGAGTCACGTAGCGGACTTTTCTCAAAATGATACGTCCGCCAAAGAGCGCAATGTTGAGCGAGCCGATGGAAATGGATTCATCCTTTGGCAGAAGAAAGGTAGAGATGATGCTCGCCGCCAGTTTGGCGAGCACACGGGTGGAGAAGAAGACAAAGTACACCATGAGTACTCCAAGCACTCCCGTCCACACAAACCATGACACAGGGGCAGTCCCAGATGCATCCTCAAGCATTCGTTCCTGGTTGTCGTGTGCGCCTGCCCTGGCGTGAGGGTGGGTGGAGTGGTGTGGTGGGGGGGTTGGGGGGGGGGGGGGGGGTTGGGGGGGGGGGTGGTGTTGCGTGTGTGGTGATCGCGATCGTGATCGTGATCGTGATCGTGATCGTGATCGCGATCTTGGTTGTGGTCGTCGAGGGTATGCTGAGGGGGAGAAGGGAATGCGGGAGGGGAGGGGAGGGGGGGATGATCGTGATCGTGATCGTGATCGTGGTGGTGATCGTGATCGTGATCGTGATCGTGATCGCGATCTTGGTTGTGGTCGTCGAGGGTATGCTGAGGGGGAGAAGGGAATGCGGGGAGGGGGAGGGGGAGGGGGGAGGGGATGATCATGATTGTAATCGTGATCGTGGTGGTGATCGTGATCGTGATCGTGATCGTGATCGCGATCTTGGTTGTGGTCGTCGAGGGTATGCTGAGGGGAGAAGGGAATGCGGGAGGGGAGGGGAGGGGGGGATGATCGTGATCGTGATCGTGATCGTGATCGCGATCTTGGTTGTGGTCGTCGAGGGTATGCTGAGGGGGAGAAGGGAATGCCGGGGA